GTTGGGGGGGGGGGGGGGGTTCCCTTCGCCTCGTCATGTACATCGAGAATGATGAGCGTCACCGGAAAATTTAGGCGAAAAGAAGTCTATAGAACGATAGACGATGGTGGGAAGCTAACGGGAGGGGATAGTCGTTAGATGTCTCCGTGTAAAGGTAAGGATGATCTATTGGTTCGTTTAGTGGTCAACTATGGTTATTCACGGGGATTGGTTCTTTCCGCTCCTCGCGTCGCTGCTCACGTCGAGAAGTTGAGGAAAGGAGGCGTCACCGGAAAATTATGACAAAAAGATGTTTCCTGAAAGTTAGAAGAGCGAAATAGAGAGAGATGCGAGAGTAGGTCTGGACAGCTATGATTATGCGGCGTTTGGTCTCAGCTCCTTTGATTCTTACGTTAAGATGCGGGGGAAGGATGAAAGGTGGGGAAAAGTATTGTTTACGCGAGCGTCAGCATCGTAGAAATTTCTGGAGTTTATTAAAGAATATAGGTGTGGGTAAAGAAGGAGATGCTTTTGAGGAAAAGAAAAGAAATAAACATGTTAAAGGATAAAATTCCCTATTTATAATATGAGGTCACTATTCGCAATATTATGAATTTGATGCGAGTTGCAGCGCTTGATTTATTATTATTCTTCGTACAATTTCATGGAGATAAAACGAAGTTAACAGAAAGAGAATGTCAAAGTACACGTCCAGGAAATCGAAGTTCAGCAATTGCCGCTGAACATTTTTCTCGATCTCCTCAAGGTTATTCAAAAGCATGCTTTTTATCATGTCTTCAACTAAATAACGGTTGGGCAAATTTAGTTCGATTTTCGCAATGAGAAATTCGACGCAATCGTTGACGAGATTCGTTAGCGAATATAGATGTTTTTGCCGCGCGTCGATGCACCCCGCAATATTTCTGAGGCCTTCGAACGTGATTTTCTGTATTACTATCGACGGCGAGTAGGTCTTGTGTTTCTTCTTCTGTAGCTTCGTCACTGTCTCGGAATCCTTTGTCGTGGCCTTCTCTTCTTCGCGATTACACGTCACCATTATTGCTCTTGAGCCGTAGGTAGTGATGAAATAGTCACGTTCTTTAGGATCAAGGGCTGTGATGTAATTTTATCAGTCCCGCACAAGTAAGAATTCACGAGTTCAAATTCCTCTTGAAACTTCTCCCACGCTTCGAGTTTGAGGTAGATATAATCCGCCGAATTTCCAATTAGTTTTATCGCCACTTCGTACCTCCCGGCGTCGTTTGCTTGCAGACCCATTTGTACCCTCTTCGTATCCGAATTGTTCAAAGCGTATGTTGTAGACAGTAACATGTTTTCCTTTCGATTAAAATGTCGACCTCTTGTGGAGTCACTGCGGGTGTTATTACATCCATCCTTCTTGATATTCTGCTTCGTGTTGTTAGCAGCCATTATATTTTTCACAGTCGCTCCTTGAATAATTTTAATAAATGTCAACTTTTCGTAGCACTGTAACGTGACTAACGGCGTGCTACTGATTGTATGAAACCTGCGATCAAGAGCGGTTTTATAGGACCTCGAGAGCGTGAAAAATGCAGAGGAAGTATACGTGTCAAAAATGTTTATTTAATAACATTTTTCAATTACAGTTCTCTAAAGCACTTTTCTAATGTGTTTTTCTAAGATATTCTAACGTCAATAGCGAGGGACAAATGCGTGGGCCTTTAAACGCGATAATTTATCGCGACTAATGATAATATTTTATACCGGTTACTTCCCCTCCTTTGTATATTAGTCGTCACGTTTATCTCTCAGGCTTTTCCTCGTCTTGCAGCATCCTTTAAGCGCGACGGCTTGCCGTGACTATCGATAATATTCTATAGCAGATGCTTCTAATTCCGTTCTTTGTATGTTAGGCGCTTGCGTTTTTGTCTTAGGCTTTTCCACGCACCTAGTTGTTTTGTCACTTTTCCGAATTCAGGTTTGAAAAAAGCGGTCCTGAGCGGGTGTCGTATCTATGTTGGGCTCGTATCGGGGGATCGTAATGCCGGAGACAAAAGATGCTTGTCAAAAAATAAGTTTTCTCACGTTCTTATTAAGCGTATAAAAAGAAATGGTGACATAAGCTGTCATATTTGGAATATGTCGCGATCCGGGAAATTAGTAGCCGTCTATTATAATAGTCGGCACAAGTGAAAAATAGTTAGCGGTATTTCATCTCACGTCTTCGACGTGCCAGGTCAAAGATACCGACGAAAATACGGTTAGAATCCGCTTTTGACAAAGAGAGTGATTTTCCTAGAGGAAGTGCGTCGCTACATACTCGTATCGTTCTTTTGTCAGAGAATAAGGGCGGGTTCTCGCTTGTCCGGTAAAGAAAAACAATTTCGAAAACGCGTAAACCTTGCTCTCGCCTTACTATCAGTGAGCGTGTTTTTGACGATAAAGATTAATAATTTTAAAAACTCGTTCTTCTTTCTTTGGAGAAACGTTTTGTCGTAGGAAAGAGAGGTAAAGTTTTGGGGATATAAATGCGAGGAGAAACTCCGGTTTCGCATTTTCTCCTCGTTAGTTTTCCGCCGTGAAACGTGTTACAATATCACGAGTGGATGCGTTAGTGCGCGAATTTATCGTTACAGCTTCTTATGCCGGTACGAATATCGATATCACACGATATTTGGCGCGTATTTCCGCCGATGACGCGGAAAGTTATATCATATTTTATAAATTCGCATGCGCTTGTAGTAGCATGCTGCTAGCGCTTTTATTTAAGTGCAATAAATTTTGGAGTGATCCGGAATTAATAAAAATAATCAGAGAAATTCTAATATTTCGACGGGATTTTGAGGAGGACATCGTGTAGGGAATTATCGTCGACGTGATATCCATGTAACAGGTAAGTTATTACATTATTTTATACTGAAAATTAAAACTTTATAATTTACGCGAATTTTAAGAATAATTATTGTTTTATTGTTTCATAAGCTCTGCTTCCGTAATCACCGGTACCAGCGGGAGGGAGGCACTTGAACTTCTTCCGCGAGGTCGTAAACGCCTCGCGGAGGAACCACCATACCCGAATCAGGCGATTTCGCGTAGGTACAAATCGAGAGGAGTATCGGATTTAAGGTGCTTTATTGGATAAATTATCTAAAACTAAAATTAATAATAAATTAATAAATTTGAGGTCCCTAACAATGCTCCGACATCGGAAGCCAACCTATCGGAATCCGACAGTATTTGTAGCATGGAAACGGTTGTTAACGAGACCGCTGCTGTTGAACCCATAGGTAAAGTAGCATAAATACTTATAAAATAACAAAAGTATCATATTAAAATCGATTTCATACGATATAAGTGTAATTTTACTTTCAGGAAATAGTGGGAATGATATCCGCTCTACCGAGACGGTAGCCGTCGACGACAACAGTGGCGACGGTGATGGAGACGGCGACAGCGACGGCGATGGTGGCAACGTCCCCGTCGTCAATGACTCCGGCAATGGCGTCAATGTCGGTGAAGACGATGGTAACGGAGGCGAGAATAATGACGACGGAGAGGAGCGCGACAACGACAATACCGGGGATAACGCTAAAGACGCTCGCCACTATCGAGAGTTTTCTTCGGGAATATCAGATAAGAACTTTCGCGCGAATCCACGCGCTTGTGTGTAGACGCGGGATTCTCTCGATGTATATTTTTACATTCGAATTTGAATTTACGTTCGAAATGGAACCGGCGCGAGAGGAATCTATGCCGGAAGAAGTTCCTCACAAGCGCGGTAAGATTTAATTATATGTAAAATTTAATTATATTGTAACGAAGCGTTATTGAGCCCGTGCCTGAGGGCTCATCCACACCGGCTCGACTGAACATACATTGGGTCGGTGTCTACGGCGTTAAGCGCCACTTTAATGGCCACGCAGCCTTTCACTCACCCGCACGTGATCCGACGTTGCAGCGCCCTGGGTGGGGGTAGCGCGACGCGGGTCCGTGTAGGTATAAAAGCCGAACGCTCGAGACACTTGGCACTATTCCCGTCGCTGCGGCCGCAACAGCCACAGCGACTTCCGAAGGTGTGCTCGCCTCTCGATGCCGTGCTCTCGCGGCATTACGATCCTGGCTCCGCTCTCCGACGGTGTGCTCGCCGTTCGACGCCGTGCTCTTGCGGCATCACGATCCTGACTTCGCTTTGCGAGGGTGTGCTCGTTCTCGACGCCATGCTCTCGCGGACGCTGTTCCTGATCTACGACGGTGTGCTCGCCGCTCGACGCCGTTCTCTCGCAGCATCCCGAATTCCGCTTCCCGAAGGTGTGCTCACCTCCGACGCCGTGCTCTTGCGGCATCTCGCCCCGACCGGGTGATTGCGAACTGCGAAGGATTGGAGTTGTGTGCTTTGTCGGTTGCTGCCGACTCCCCCAGTTCTTTACCCACCTAGTTATAGAAACCGCGACCGTTCGCTAGTTATAAGACCGCGACCTCCCGCGTCCGCGTAGACTAAGTTCGTGTCCGTCATGCATATGTCCGCGTCGGCGTTCGCATAAACCTGTATCCGCGACCGCGATCACTCTCGTCTGCTCGTATAACACCGCGACCGTTCACGATCATTAATTGTAAGACCGCGTCCGCCTAGACTAAGCCCGCATTCGTTCGTCCACGCCTATGTCCGCGACCGCCCACGTCGCTGTTGCGAGGTCCCGTAGCCATCTTTACCCCGCGCCTGTATATTTGTACGTGAAGCATTCGCAATAAAACTGTTTCTTGTTTCGTTCAATGGAATGACAATTATTCCTTCCTCCCGATCCACCAATCCCTAGACACCGGCGAGCCGTCCACAGCCCTTCTAAATCCTCGAGCGTGACGAGCCAGCGCGCCCTCCGCACATGACTCATCGTACAATTGGCGCCCGAACAGGGACTCGAGGAGCAAGAATATTATCATTTCCCGTAGACATGTTCGCGTGGATCTATAAACGCAAGAAGGACGAATTCGTAGCCCTCCTCGAAACTTGGAATCGATTCCGGCGGGACCCTCGAGGACCTGCGGAAACATACCGCACTGTTTTACGCCACCCACCCGGAGGCTGCGGAAGAACCAACCACCTCGACCGCACTATCTGACCCGGGCCTGTCTACTTCGCTCTCGGTAATGGCTCCGGACACAGCGACGATTCTATCTCAGGTCAGTAAGTGGTCTTTGACGGCCGGGACCCGCTCGCGTTTCTCGAGCGGCTGACCGAGTTGGGTGAGGGATATGGATACCCTGGCGAATGCTTGCTCCGCGGCCTATTCGAGCTGCTGAAGGGAGAGAGTTTCTTCTGGTACCGTAACAACAGGCACCAGTGAGGCAGCTGGGCCGAAAGCGCCTTTAAACGACAGTATCTGCCGCCCCGGTATCAAGCGCAGACGAAATGCGCGGGACATAATGAGCCGCTTGTGGCGACTAGACGAGGGGTACCAACGGTACGAAACCAATCTCGGCACGATGATGAAAAGAGGCGGCTTCCACACCGTAGATCAACTCTTGCAGTTGTATAACAACATGTTACCCGAATACAAGCTCCAGATTCGATTGGATGACCTAGAATCAGAAGATTTTCGCATCCAGGCCCTGGAGTATGAGGCCGTTAAGGAAGCCTGCCGGCGCCAACAGACTACTCGAGACGACCGATTAACCACCGCGGCGACTCGCCGCTCGACGGTGGCCGCTACCACCTATGACCGGGAACAGTGTTGCTAGCACTGTAAACAGCGAGGCCATACACGCAGTCAGTGCCAGCGGCCCGCCAGAAGGTTCTGCATTCAATGCGGCAAGGATGAGGTGTTCACCCGGCAGTGCCACTCGCCGCCGGGAAACGCGGCAAGGGCCGAGACCGTATCGGCCGACTCTCGACCCTGAGCTCAACCCCTCTCACCTTCATCCCGCGGCTGCACCACGCGATCGAAATAAACCGCCGTCGGGTGCAGGCGCTGCTGGACACCGGGTCTGAGGTGTCCTGCATCAAGTGGAATACACTACGAACGATTGCGCCTGGCCGAGCACCGATCCCCGGGAGCGAGACAAGGATTCGGTTCGCGAATCGGGAGGTCGTTATATTGATAGCATGAATGCAGAACTGTTTTCATCTTTTGAAGCAACTGTAGCATTATGAAAGTAAAGATGCTAAGATAACTTCCTAGACAACATAATGTTTAAAATTGAGATATCTTAAATATCATCTTTAAAGGCCGATCTACATTGGTCGTATCGTAACGTCGTGACATCGCAAAATAGTAACATCGTAATGCTCGTGAGTAGTACAAAAGTATATACTTTTAATGATGACTATAATTACTTTTTGTGCTATATATATTTTTAATACAACTCTAGCTCGTCGCTGATTGGTTGATTGTAGCAATCGTAGTGTCGTAGAATTGTTGAAGTTTGGGTTTGACCAAACTTCTACGACGAATCGCATGACGCTTACGACGTTTGCGACGCTACGATACGACCAATGTAGATTGGCCTTGACGTAAGATATCTTTCAGACAACTTACGTTTAAATGTCTTTAAAGCGTCTTAAAGATTATCTTTAAGACATCTTATGTCCCGATTTTAGACATGTTGTCTGGGTTTATTCAACGTGTAAATGTTTATCAAACGGTGTAGATAAAACGGTTCGCTTTATCGATACCGTTGGAGACTGCTTAATTCGTTTTTGATGCGGATCCAAATCGCGGATACAACTATCATCAATGCGACTATGATCAATATCTCGGCGCGGCGCGGTGCGGCAAGACGTAGGAGCGCAGCGGTATAAATATAGGCAGTGGTGCGTTGTCTTCCAATCGCCACGCGCGACATTCGCGCGCTATATTACTGGGATGCGCTATGACTCGAGCGATCCGTTCTCTACCATTCAGCACATGTTTTTCCTTAATCTTTCGTAATTAATTTCTTTATTATAAATATCGCAAAACGGTATAGGACTTTTATATTTATTTTAGCTGCACGTACTCACGAGAGCTTCTTAAATTATTCTGAGACACCCTGTATATATATATATATATATATATATATATATATATATATATATATATATATATATAT